AGTGAGTGAGTGAGTGAGTGAGTGAGTGAGTGAGTGAGTGAGTGAGTGAGTGAGTGAGTGAGTGTGTGTGTGTGTGTGAGAGAGAGAGTGAGTGAGAGAGAGAGTGAGTGAGTGAGTGAGTGGTGTGACGTGACGTGTAGCCAAGTATGGTGTCCATACTCGGAATTTGTGCTCTGCATTTAACTAATCCAAGTGCACACACACCGTGAACACACACCCGGAGCAGTGGGCAGCCATTTTTTGGTATATATATCCTTCATGACCCAGGAAACAAAGGACGCATTTTGAGGCTGTATTCGAAGGAGCCTTTTGAAATTGGACAGCCTTTGTCGCACGGCTGTGATGCATTCCGTTTTTGAGTGCAGCCTGTGAAGAATGCAGCCTCTGAATTGGGACACAGCTTATTATTATGCAAGGCAACATTGTAATATCAATCCACTCATCCGGGTAAGTGAAACCGGTGTGGTGAGACATGCTGTCTTGTTTCATACAAACGCAACTGGTGCCATCTTGATCTCGGTGTTTAACTGCAGTGAAAATGACCTCAGATGATTTCTGTATTAATATTACTGTAATATTGTTGCAGTGTTCATCTTGTTGCTTGGCCAACGATTGCAAATCATTTTTACTTACAAAAGCAATTGCAAAGCTAAATCATAAAACAATTTCGATTCAAAACAATCTACATTGTTTTCTTTGTTGTAAAGCTGTGTAATAAGTGACTGCACTTATATCGCTCCCACCTGACCAGTGGTGATTATAGGATCCAGACAGGCCGGTCTCGCAGTGAACACCTGTCTGTTTCCATTACACAGGTGTGTGCGCTTCAGAAGCTTCAGTGTGGTGTCTGATGTCCTCTAATGCTGTTTGATGTCACCGTCTTTTCACAGTCTCCTTCATCTGGATTCAGGCAGTTGTGCAGAGTACATATGATACTCCTACTCGGAATACATCCAAGCATTAAAAGTGCCGTAGCACAATGAAAAAAGGCAGACATTACCATTACAGTCACATCGCCGTCATGTTTCAGTGCTTCAGTACTGTTACAGCAGCTCCTGTGCAAAGCTGATTATGTTGTTTAAACCATTTAGAACAACGGTGAACCACATTTAATCCTTTGCAGACCTTTGTGCTTCATGCAGTTTTAACCTGCTCTTTCGTTTCTGCCCAGCAGTGTGATATGGTTAAAAGCTTGCTGTTTTCAGTGATCCGTTTTTCTTACGAAATCACCTTTAGAGTCAGTGCAGTTTTTGAGTATTTCCGATGCAGTTGGGTATTAAAAGCATTTGTGCAGAGTAAATAATTGAATCCACCATAGTGTGGTTCACAAGCTTTGTGCAGCATGTATGCAAGATTTATTTCCACACAATCTGGGTATATAAAGTAAAATATGGTCTTTATTTTATGATGAGGAGAAGAATGGCCAGAGCAAATAATGGTACAGTACTACATGCATTATTTTATGTACAATAGTATGCATTATTTATTATAACAATATTCATTACCTCCATATATTTGCTCTAAAATGGCTTTACACACCTGAATCAGCTAATCCAGGACTTGAAAATTACTAGAAACTAATTAAAAAGTACTAGAGAACTACATTCAGGTTTGAGGCTCTCTAGCTTTGACAGAGGAACATTCATGTGTGTGATACACAGTCATAAACAGTAATATTTGGCCAGTAATTTGCACGTAAAATCAAATTTGATTTATTTTTATAATATTTTAGATTCAGTCACTTATTTTAAATCAGAGGAACTATTAACATTTTTAGCTCTGTGCATTATTAGGTGACAGATACAGCTCAATGTTTTGTTCATTCTGGAAAAAAAAATGGTTGCCAGGCAAAGACTCGTCAACATTAATAACTGTTGTATAAAGACAATATTGCTCTTGCAATCATGCTGTTGGTCTGAATATGATGACATTCAGTACAACAACACTCTTGTTTGTGTGATATTACTTGAATATATTGTGTTCAATATATATAGAACAGAGTTAGAGACTGAATAAAGAATAGTTTGATCTCACTCAGCCGTTGAACTGCTTCTGCATATGCACGATGCATGTAAAGGATGGCATGCATCCAAAATAAAAGACTTTTAAAGTTTGTATTTTTCCTGAGTATCTGATTAAATATTATCAGGCTTTCTCGATATTTTAAATAGCAACTGATTTATTTTCTAAGACTACAAATTTGTAGCTACATTCCTTTGCTGGAACTCCAATACTGGTTGAATGTCTGAATAAGGGTTGGAAATAAACTGGGGCCTGTGGCAAAAAATGCCACCAAAATGAACAAAAATGCCTCACAAATTCAAGACAAAGGGGCAAAGATTGCCCCTGCACAATTAAATTCAACATTATATTATCATTATAAAAATCAAATGTGAAAATGAATGAAAAGTGTCAGGAATTTAGATACATGCTTGCATCAGATCGCTTTTTACACTTTGTTGTTGTTGTTTGCAGGGAGCAAATATTGCCCATTGCTGGAAAAGTACATTTCTGACCATGCACATTTATTTGGCTTTATGTGTTCAATTCTTCTCAAGTACTGAGATATCTGACGTTCCCTCCTGGACTTTGTCTAAGCAGCTCTCTACTTCCAGTCAGGGATTGAATAAGGAAATGGACACCAACACCAACCTAATGTCTATCTCTCTCATTCAGCAGCTGCCAGGAGCGGCAAATAATAAGGCAGGAGATCGTTGTCTATAATTAATGAAAGGCCTCTAATCAATCTACCAAGCTGCTAAAGACCTGAGACAAATGGAATGGCAATTTTCCAGTGGTTAATGCTGTAATGAATCCTCTTCAGTGACAGGAGTATGCTAAAGTATTCAGCATGATGAAATAAGCATTAGTCTAAACTATATAAGAATCTGGATTGAACTGAAATGAGATCTGAGCCAGGACACGTAGTACACAAAATGCTGAATGAGTCTGGAATCTTCTCGAGTCTTTCTGCAGGTTGCATCGATACGCCAATAGTTGGCGACAAGTATCTTTAGTTAGTCACTGAATCAGGATTCATCGCTAAAAACACGGATTCATTATTAAGGAATCAAACACAGCACTACTGTGCCCATTCCCAAGACGCCATGGGTAATGGCTATGGCTTTTTCGTTGGCTGAACAAAACGGTAAGTAGCTAGCAAAATTATGTTTTTAATTATGCTGCCATTTTTTTACCGTCAATTTTACGGAATTTTTTTTTAGTGAGCCAACATCAACATGAAATTGTTTTTTGCACCCATAGAAAATCCCCTCATAATCATATGAAATTCCACCACCATGTTAAAGCATCAGGACGGTAAGATCAAGTATCACAAAACTTAAAGGGGTCATATGATGCAATTTTAATTTTTCCTTTCTCTTTGCCCTTTAAACTCCAAGAACTTAAAACTTAAAAACAACGCAGAGGTTTAATAAAATAAAGTAAATGAAACAACCAACAAAGCAGTATCCAGATTTCTCAAAGAATTGCAAGGACTCTACAAAACATGAAGCACAACTAATTTTACTTGCACTTACATTTTCAAGAGAAACCGGATATTCAACAACAAAACTTAGGGCAGAACTTAATTTTGCCATTCAGGAATCGAGTGGGTCGAGAATAGTCATTCCATACCAGAATGAAACCTGAATGCATGTTGCTTAACGATGGCTACTGGTTAATATTAATGTCGGTGGAAAAACGAAAGTCATTGCAAAGAGGGAGTGAGTTAATTAATTATGTTTTGATGAAAGATTTCCAATGACAGTAAAACCAGGAATGTGTATTAAAGTAAACGGGGTCAATTATTCACTTTAATACAAGGGCATTAGTCAATAACAAAGGCTAATTTCAGACTTAATTTGACTTGACATTTTACATTTTGTAGATGACTACATGAAAGTTGGCCTTCTGATGAATAAAAATGTTCAAATATCAGATCAAAGGAAAAGGAGCACAGATTATGCTCCGTCTTGAAGGTTAAAGAGAAGATAACATGAATTGAATACGCTTTTCCATCACAGAGACGTCAGCTTTAGGTAGAAGGCGGATTGGAGCGTTGGTGGAGGATAACCTTGACATTTTTTTTTTTCAATTCTTAGAATTCTCAGCAACATTTGCATGACTTGCGTACAGCATGCCAGAGGGTCACCTTGGATTACAGAAGATGACGTGCACGTCTCTTATGCGTGCAATTAAATTTGAGTTATTGAAGTTGCATGAGAGCAGAGGAGAAAGGCTCATTTATGCACTCGGTGTATTGCACATCCTGACCATTGTCGTGTCTTTTTTTGTATTTATTTGCATGACCTGGGGTTCGTGTAACATCTGGCAAGACTGAAATATTTAAGCGAGTCAATTTCGTCATGCGAGACCCCGACGGGCTGTACTCTGTCACTTTAAAGCATCACAGAACTATTTTAGAACATGATCAAATATTAATTATTCAGCATGGTGGGTAGTTACACTTCAATTAATCATGGGCTATTAATGGCAGTCCAATATATTGCAGAGCAAGACTGATAACTTCATATGAAGACCAAAGTGTAAGACAAGAAGAGTAAGTGTGGACTTGGATCGCACATTCTGCCCTTCACTGAGTTACATATAGCTGAATTATTCAAGGCTGTGGCAGACCAGCTATGAGGTGAATATATACAGCAAGCATTTTACAAAAGTCTGATGTCCTTCCAGGAATACCGTTAAAAAGTAATACATGCTGCTGTACCTTCTGATTCGCTGATATGTTCATAAATAATAGACAAACCCTAAAAATCATAAGTACACAACATACTCTAACGCATGAAGAATACTGCTGCGTATCACCAGTGGGGCAAAGGTCTCAAGTCAGTATGGGTGGAGAGAATGGGGTGTCCACTTACTAAAAAAAATACACTGATTTTTAAAGTACACTACTGCATGAAGTACTTGACCCAGGGTGGGACATCTGGACAACAAACTACAACTTACTGTAAATAAAAAGAACACAAAGCAAGCACTTAAAAAGGCAACGCAGAGTTTAATCGTCTCTAAAATATATTCATCAAAACAAAAGAATGAGGATGCTTGTAGTTGTTGCATCTGAAACTCGTTTGAGAAAAGCTGATAAATGTTAAAATGCTATTTGAACAACAAGACTTGAAATGAAATGGCTGAAGAAGAAGAAAAATAAAATTGTATTAAGTATCTTCTGGACAGACTGATGATCCATAATCATGAGAAATCAGATTTCCACACAAAAATACACACAGAAAAACAAACCAAATGATGGCGGGACGCACATTCCCCTTAAAGTACATACAACAGTGCGATCAGCTAAAGAATAATAAGGAATCAATGAAAATAGATGCTACATAAAGGTGATTACATTCGTTAAGATCAAAACATGGCTTTTCTTGAAATCAGGGTTTAAAGCAAACAAATAAACAGAAATCATCTAAATAATGTGTTTTTGTCTGTGACACTCTCCAACAAAGGCATGTTTCTGGCTGAAGTCTCGGCTTTTTAGCTCATTGTTGTTGTTTTTTTTAGAATTCAGTAATGTAATCATAACAGACAGAATACTTCGCTAAGTTTTTGTGGTGTTTTTACATAGTACTATATGCATAGTTTTTGAAATATTAATATGCCCTCCGAATAGCAATTTGTGCCGTCAGCAGCGAGGGGACACATTAACAGCTCTAAATTGGAGGACATAAAATACCAATGACACATTTAAATGTTTTAGCCTTACTCGTAGAATATTTTTACTTTTAAATACTGAACTTTGAATGAAATATTTTTTTTCCAGATTAAATATTTAAAATGCCAAATACAGCACTGCTTGCATTTCTGTTGTATTACTGTGTAACAACTAATGTGTGAATATGTAAGGGATTGTATACCATTTCATTTCATGACAGAATTCAGTAACCTGAGCACTTCTTAAACACTTCTGCAAGTGCTTAACTGTTTTGAGGGAAGTAATGGGACACTTCAGCAAAAGAGAAATAAATACACAAAAAAAACTCTAGATACTTACTTAAAATCAGTTTTAAATACCATTAGTCAAACAAAACAGGTGAGAATGAAAATCAGGAAGTATATCCAAGTTCTTGATCATTAAAACATATACTGAATACATCAAAATCAAAATTCTAATATTAATACATAATTCAAATTAAGTACAAAAGCTGTCTTTAGGTTGAGTGTTGAAATACAGTGGTAAAGATAAAAGAGGTAACTGAAAAATTGAGGTGAAGGATCCTCTCAGTTTATGATGACTATAAGCAGGCTAAAGGAGCAAGATGTTCTTTTAAAGGGTGATGGAGATCCCCCTCTGTCAGAGCAAGGGTTAGGCACTGAAAATTGACAAGAGAGTCTCATAGATTACATTTAATCTTCTTCAACCAGCAGAATACCTGACACAGTGGTATCTGTGAAGCTGTGGCCATTTGGTGCCATCCCAATCTCAACAAAGGACTTGTACTGGGATACTGGAAAGATGTCATTATCTGGGTAGAAAGCTCTCACCCGAGGGCAAAAGCAAATGTCAAAACACCCATTATGTGAGATGTTCCATGTCCACACAGTGCCACAGGGATCAATCCTAATGCTGCTCAATCTTGTCACCTTTGAAGAACTCTTTCAGAAGTGTGATTGTATGGTTATGTCCTGCTGTTGCCCACTCAATCACGTCACATCAAATAGAATCAAGTATTGTACTGGTGAAAATCACCTTAATTCAGACTATGACATTCTTGTACGATCCCTGAAGCACTCAAAGCGGGACTGACTGAAGTTGCAGCCGGTAGTTCACCACAGTTTCCATCAATACCGTAGGTTCCACAGATAAGAGAGCTCCATGCCTCAGAGAGAGGACAGAAGAGTTACAATGATGCCTCAGCGACAGCAGCATGATCAGGGATAACTACAGCAATGCTGCTCCGATCCCTTCCACTTGTTGTGTGCTGCTATGCCTAGTGATTGCTAGTAAGACGAAGAGCACTCAAGGTCAAACAAACAAAAAAGAAGAGAAGAATAAGCCTGGAAGTCTCAGTCCAGCAAGTTTCCATGCTCTTGAGCTCTGGTAAGGCTGTCTTTGCGGTGCAAGTGATGAATCCCCATTCTCTTGGGGCTCTTCAGAGGTCGTGAGGAGCCCGTCCGAGGGGGCTTGTCTGCATAATCCTCAAGGGCAGCTAGGACCCTTGAGCCAATGACAGGAAAGTCCTGGGGTAGGATATCTCGCTCCTCAGCTGAACTTCCTGCTGAGCCGGCATCTTCAGCAAACTCTTGACGCTTAGCAGAGGCTGGACTGCTCTCAATGGTGACCATGGTATCACCACTAGCACCATCATTGTCAAGTGGATCAAGGGCCGTCAGTAGGTGTTCACCCTCTTCCTGGGAAAAGTCACCACCATATTGTGTCTTTTTTGCCCGGAGGTCTGCCATGCTGCTGGTGTCTGTATCCAAACTGGACTCTCTACTTGCTGTCCAGCTCTGGGCTGAGGATCCCTCCTCGCCATCAGAGTAAGCACCTCTCAAAGCCCCTACTCCTGATTTTCCATTGTGACTTCTTTGGAGATCTTTTAACGTCTCACTGCTGAAGGATGTGCGGTTGACAAGGGAGCCTTCTGTGGATGGTGCCGTTTTTTCTACAAACATGCGCTGCCAGTTGGCCAGTAGGTCCTCCTCAGAGCTACCAGAGCTTGCAAAGGCGCTCGGAGGCTGAGGGGGGCTGCTAAAGGGACTCGAATGACTGGAGAGAGTGTCCGTAGCATCCATCTGTGGAGGTGTGTGCTGGTGAGAAGCATGCCCACCACCAGAAGATGAGGAGGTCCCAGAGCGCCAGCCCCCATCAGATACAGCAGGGCTATTGGGCACGGTGCGCTGGCGCTCGGCTGCCTCTTCTTCGTTCTGTACAAGACTGAGAGAAATGGCCTGACGAGTAGCGTAGGTACAATTGGGCAGTGGGCTGTTTTTGGGAATCTTGACTTTGTCATCAGAAGTGAACTCAATCACTTTGCGACCAGGGTACAGCGGGTTTGGTGGTGGAGGTGCTGGGTAAGGATTCAACTTCTCAAAAGAGGGGGCTGCCCCATCTTCTCCAGTTGGCCCATCCAGGCTGCCCTGGCTTTGACACATGCCGTTTACATGCTGCTGATCAGAGCTAGGTCCCACAGGAGACCTGGCATGAACAGGGTCCCCATTTTCACGGCCTCCACTATCGTCTTGGGGTCCTGTCATGTCCACGTGTACGAACACATCTTCAGCCACTGGCCGACCTGCACTGCTGCTAGACTGGGCTGAGTTGAGCACCAGGGGCTCCGGTTTCTCAAGAACACGAGCGATCACCGAAGTGGGCACTACATCTGCGGGAGTCAGGCTTAGAGTGTCAGGATCCTGGGCTTGAGCTCCCTGAGAGCCCGGAGTCTTGTTAGGCAAGCTGCTCTTCATGTGCTTGTTCACCATGTCCTGTAGCTCATATGGCAACTGCAAAACATTATAGAGAAAATAAACAAACATACAAGCGTGAAATTTTTTTTTTTTTCCTGCAGTAGAGTTCATGTTATACATTGGTTTCAACATTTAAAAAACTATTATAGATAAAAAAAAAGATTCCTGAAAATGAAATGTTATCCATCAACCTGAAAAAATTCTGGATAATGAGAAATGTATTGTAACCAGCAACAGGCATTCAAATGGCCTTATTTGAATAGATAATCAGGGTTAATTCCGTGTCTAGGCATAAGACTTTTTATTATGACAGCCTTAAAATATGAATGCATAATTCTTACATGGAACATAAACTGTGAAATGTACTAATGTTTTTCTCATGCAATAGACGCAGCAGTGATTTGGGGGAGTCAAGCTCCAAAAAGGACAAGACAGTACTATAAAATAAATAGTCCATACAATTTTCTGCTTCCAAGAAAGTAAGTTTGAAAAGGGTTTGGAATGACATCAAGGGAAATAAACAATCTCAATCTTTTATCTTTTTCTTGGGACCACATCTGTTGTTATGAGATCTATGTAGCTTGCACATTTTGTGGATGAATCCTTTTTTGCAAGTAATCTTAAAAGGTGCAATTTCACTAACATGCACTGGGATATGAATAGGATGTTCAATGAAGCCTATCTACCATTCTGCCCGAATGAAGGTTATCTCAGTCTTGATCAAGAAAAGCAGAAAATAGTGTTTTTCATTTAACACCATCTAATGTCTGCCCGCCCTGATGTGGAAGGAGAATAAAGAGTAAGAAGCTCACCTCAAATTAGATTATTACTGAAGAGGGGTGAGACAGACAGAGAAAAAGAGAGAGACTAAAAGAAAAAAGGCAGGTGATGAGGCCTTTATTTCATTCTGTAGTGTGACACAATTTCACGAAGCCAGGCCAAGTCATTGATTTGTGGAAAAAAGGAAGGAAAAATCAGTGATCTCACACAGCCCTGCTCAGCTTTATGTTGTAAGGATCCTGTGTGGCAGCAGTTACCCACAAAGTCCTTACTTCCTCTGAGCGTGGGGCACGGGAAAATTGATCGGTCCAGACCAAACTTCCAATCATGACCCCCCTCATGGCCTTCTAGTTTAGAAATCTACATGATGCTCCATAAATTAATTGACCAGTGCAGCATCACATGCTAGAGTGTGGGAAGTCAGATGTTGCACAAAGTACTACAATACTCCAGTAAATGATCATTTAAATTTTATACCCATCTCTAGGCAAAAATCTAATACAAATAACTAAATATAAAAAGGTGCCTAAAGTTAATGCATTTAAAACAAGAGCAAATATGCAAAAAGTGTTACCCATGCTTTGGTCAGGACTTAATGCTGTTTGCAGAATAAAACAACAAGGGCAGACAGAGTGATAGATGGGTTTAATGTAGAGCGCAGGCCACAGGTGATAATGTCCCGATGTGTTCAATACCCATATGCCCATGGGGTCAAGCTGTCTTATTATATGTCTCTGTTCTTGTACCCACAGAGCTGTCCATCAGCCTGAAATCTGTCCTATTTTCCCCCACAGACAGACACAAAGGCCAAACAGACGGATGTGTCTGGAGTTTGGCACCTTGTCAATACTGTGCCTTTTCTCTGCCAGCGAGACCAAAGACCAGCCATGTCTCGCAGCACGACTGCCCTAACAGACACTCTCCATGCTAAACACTGTCATAAAGCACATCCTGCAGACATGGCTATTTTTTTTTTAAACCCTTGCTAGGGTTGTGACTGTGAGGAAATTTTCCCACCGGTTAATCGACGTGTGACAACACCGGTAATACCGGTATCACCGTGGGGGCGGGGGTGGGGGCGTTCCCTCTTTCTCTCGCTTTTAAATAGCTTGTAAAAGCGGCGTGCGCATTTTACTTTCACTTTCAAATAGCGGTAATTCGGCGTAAAGCAATTGTTTGTTTGAATTTTCTCTATTTTCCTCGCTTTCCTTTGCTTTTAAATAGCTTAAAAGCGCCGTGCACATTTTACTTTCACTTTTGAATTAGCGGCAGTTGCTTGAATGCAACAACAAAATACAACGTCAAACTCACTTTAGCCTATATATAAAACATAGAACTTTTATTAACAAAACAAATAAAAATACACCATGCTTTTATATTGTATATAAAATAACAAATAACTTGCATAAAGTTTAAATAGGTATACAAAACTGGAAATAGGATAAGTAAACATGTATAAACATGTATTATTTATAACCAAATAAATAAGAAACGTAGAACGTTTATTAGCAAAACGAGTAAGAAAGCTTGGAGGCACGGCATACGCCTTGATGTCAAATAAAATAAATAAATGACACAAAGTTTAAATAAAGTAAAAATCAGCAAACGATGTGGAACCAATTAAATAAGAAACTAATGTTTAAAAAAACCTTCCAAAATCACCTTAGACTCACTCTCCTCACTGGAGAAATGAAATCTGATCTGTGATGCGACTGTCGTTCGGCATGCTGCATTGAGCAGCCGCGCTCAGTTTTTAATTGTAGTGTCTGTTCTTTTACTGAACTAAATTTTTATTAGGCTACTACAAAAAATCTAAATGACGGGTTGGGGTCGGTGCAAGTGGCGTAACCAGTGTTGCGGCTTAACACCTCTCTCTATTCTTTTGGTCTCTTTCTCTTAATTTTTCTGACTATTCCTCTCTGATCCCAATCGGTAAAATCAGAGGTCCATGTCCCTAACAATAAAATCACTGGGCAATCGTGCACACTCTCTCTCTCTCTCTCTCTCTCAGCACCGTCCACGAGTGTCACTGCGGAGTGCAAAACACATTCAGACGCCAACAAGTCCTGCGCTGCAGGGATAGTTCAGACAAAAATTTAAATTCTGATATCATTTACTCATCCTCATGTCGTTCCAAACCAGAGTACAGATAAATGGAATTCAATGGTAATTATTTTATAGTGCTGTTTGGCTGTTTTTGGAGCATGGAAACTATAAAGTAATCCGTTTTCGTTGAATAGAAAAGTGATGCTCAGACAATGCGCTTAACATAACCTACTGTGCTTTACAAACGTCAGAGAGGGTGAGTAAATGACAGAATTTGAATTTTTGGTGAACGGTTCCTAAAAATGTGGGAGGGGGGTGTGCTTTAAAACTGAGAAACAGATTCTACTACTTACATCAGCAAACTTGTGGTTCCTGAAATGCGATTTATTGCACTTCAACAGCTGCACAGCCAAATTGCAATCTTGCCGATACCGTTCCTGCACGAGGAGAGAAAATGCGTCAGGGAAACAGATTTGAGAACACATCAAATTCAGAAAAGAGCCTTCAACATCCACTGTTTGGAATGACGCTTTTCTTAAATTAAACTGAAATGGTCATTTATGAAAGAAGAAACGCAAACACACACACACACAGTATGAGTCAGTGTTTGGACATGCATATGCTTCTTTACAAATCTGCTGAGTTAAATGCTTATAGTTTGAAATCAGATTTGTAAATGAATGCAAGTTGTGCTTATGAATGATTCTTTGTTTTTTTTAAAGCCAACTAGTGTCCAGCATGCATGTGAACTCCAACACTGTTTAAAAAGCATCCCAGGATGTTGATTGAGCAGAGTATAGACAAAGAATAATTCCAATACTGATTAATTTAATATTTTATTGACTTACTGTTACTCTAAAACGGGGGTTCTAAACCTTTTTGACTCCTTTGACTCTTCTGTCTAATTTCGTTTTCGGAACTGATTTTAATCTCCAGTTTTTTGTTCTAATAATAAAAATAATAAAATAATAAAAATTCAACTTTAACATTCCAGAAGTTTTAGGAGCTTAATATTCTTCCTACTCTTTTTAACCAATGAACCAATCTTCCAGGTGTTTGTGAACAGTTAGATAAGGATTTAAAAAATATTTCAACCTAATAAAATATTTTACAGCTTGGCATAACTAGTAAAATATAGATTCTTCATTAAAATGCCCATAACATTTTAAAATTCTATAATTTTACATAACTTTTCCAGGTCTTAAAAAAATAAATAATAATTATAAAAAATAAATAAATAAATAAAAAAACACACTTTTAAAATAGATTTCAGTATATTTAGTTTTTTAAAGACTGCAGGGAACCCTGGTTCTTTAAAGGAAAAAAAAAAAACCTTGTTGAGGGCGTGAATTAAAATATATTAATTTCTACTTGTTTAACTTATTTGGTATATCATTTTAAATCATTAGAAGTCACCTTGAGGTTCCCTTAAAAGTTTGCTGAGACCCCTAGTGGGGTCTGGACCCCTGGTTGAGAACCACTGTTCTAATATGTTGAAAAATATGTATGAGTAGTTCTGTCCAAATCTTTGACTGACACTTTATAAGTAAACCAAGGAAAATGGCACCCAAGGTAGCAGTCTTCAGGATCAATAACTAAAAAAAAAAAGCCCATAAAGGGGAAAAAAATTCTCCTAACATCAACCTCAGAGGAACGAGCTATGATTGATGTATGCTCTATCTGTCTAAGGAGATGAAGCGCTCTGTTTAAACACCGCAAACAGATGGCTATCAGTTTCTCCAGTGCTATAATTAGTTCCCTGTGGCACTGTTTCATACATGTGGTGTAATAAAGGCACATCTCAGAACGACCTGCATTCTGGTGCTTTGTTATTCCTCGTGGAGTTACTCAAAATCTTAAAAAAAAAAAAAAGCATTGTCAGAATATCTGTCAGCTAGTTTACACTCCAGTGTCACTTGAATACAGTGTTTATATAATGTGAATCAAATCTCTCATTATGAATAAAGGGCTTCCTCATGAAAATAGTCCCACAAATGATTTAAAAGACTTTTTTTTCATTTAAAAATGCTAGCCTTGTGGGAAGTGTATGTTGTTTAAATGCAGTTTGAATCTTAAAATGAGAAGGAATAAGGAATAAGGAGATTTTCGCTTGTTCCACAGTAAAGCTCCAAAAGCCAGACATCATTTCTGGAATCTGACAGTAGACTTCTGTGAAATCTCAGCCCAGATCCTCCTCATGCAACTTTCAATTTTCAGCTCCAGTAGTTATCAATCCCTGTAACACTGCGGCTCTGACAACCCGAGTCCAAAACTTGCCTCAAACCCAAACACACAAAAAGCTCTGATATCACACGTACATTCAGTTCCTCCAGCTTGTCAATAGTGTTTTTGGCATCCACGAGTTTATTCGTGAGCTCCACTATCTCTTGGTCCATGGTTTTCTTGTCTCTTTCCACTTTATGGAGCTGTAAGGAGAAAAAAGACATTCATGTAAACTTTAATGTGAAAGGTCTCAGATGAGGTTCAACCTCTCTCAACAACACACTAAAACAAGTTTTTCTTCAGTCCTAATTTCATTGCTGACATGGCACCAGCTGCAAAGAAAAAGTCATCCAAAGAGCCTGGGAATGTTTTTGAGGCACAGCCCATGAGGAAAACGAAAAAAAGCAGGAAAGGAATCAATTGATAATCTCATTGCAAATAAGCATCACTCTTCTCTTGACGTGTCTCGATCTCCAAAATTTCTGTCCAATTAGGTCTGTCTTTGATAAACCAACTTTACTTACCATCTTGTGTTTTCAAACTCAAAAGTTCAAACTTTCGTACAATGACAGCTCATACTGATCACTCAACTCCAAAAAGAAACAGAAGTCCATATACTCTACCATTCAAAAGTTTGAGAAAGGCAAGAATTTATTGTAACAATATTAAATTACTTGTTTTCTATTTGAATATATTTCAACATGCAATTTATTCCTGTGATGCAAAGCTGAATTTTCAGCATCATTACTCCAGTCTTCAGTGTCACGTGATCCTTCAGAAATCATTCAGATATGCTGATTTAATGCTCAAAGAAACATTTATCAGTTGAAAACAGTTGTGCTAAAACGTCTTCTGTCTGACTTTCTGTCTGAGTTCAGTGTTTTTCTAATTGAGGAGTGAGAGTGCTGTCTGAAGACACTTCACTTCTGCCGTGGTAGCAAAGTCTGAAATGTCTTTGCACAAAAATGACTGAACAAAAGCTCTTGAAAAACTTTAAAGAGGACATACTTAGCAGAAGCTTTGATACTTAAGACGCACTTCAGCCCTGCCGGCTCTTGGTTTAAGCGGAGACAGAGAGATACAAAGAGAGACACTGAGAAAAAGTAGACACTGACAGACACTGTGACCCTTAATCTGGAGCGTGGCATGTCCATAACAAAGCAATTATCTTTATAATCACTGTTTGACTGAAGTGGACAATGTGGACCAATAAAAGACAGTTAAGGAGGGGGCAGCCTTTCAACAAAATGCAGAGTCCACATGTAATAACGGCAATGCAAAAGCCAGTATAATGCACAGCACATCTGACGGAAACAGGGATAGAAATCAGGGATCGAAAGGAACTGTTTTGATCAGTTTAACATCTGCATTCACACCATCCAAAGTTGTAGTCAAGTGGTCAAAATGCCAACATGTGTCTGCGCTTTGTTGCTACTCTAAAAGGTTTCATAATTGACTAAGAATGCATCCTTTGTTTATGAAATATATGCCCGTATAATATCATATATGTCTGTCTACCTGCAACCTACACAAGGACATCCGTTACATGTCATGTTATTTTGACCAACATAGCTGCAAAATGATCATTTGTAGCTATTAAGATATTGTTATATTGAATATTGGCTCCCACTTTATTTCAAGTGGCTTTAACTACTATGTACTTACATTTAAATTAATCACACCGGGGAGAGAAAATGGCTAATTGGGCCTAATTTGGACATTTTCACTTAGGGGTGTACTCACTTTTGTGGCCAGTGGTTTAGACATCAATGGCTGTGTGTTGAGTTATTTTGAGGGGACAGCAAATTTACACTGTTATACAAGCTGTACACTCACTACTTTACATTGCAGCAAAGTGTCATTTCTTCAGTGTTGTGACATGAAAAGATATAATAAAATATTTACAAAAATGTGAGGGGTGTACTCACTTCTGTGAGATACTGTATATATATTTATATTTATACAACAGTTCGTTCTGGTTCTCAAATCTGATTGGTTGAGAACTGTGAGATATTGTACTGGTATCGCTACAGGAACGCCCTTTCACAATTTTGTATCACCCTGCTTGTTCTAGCCAGGTCTATGTTTTTTTTTTATTATTATTCACTGAGCTAATCGTAGAGTATGTTAGTTAATATAAGAAGAAAGTTCATTCTAGTTTTATGAATTTTACTGATTATAAATGTTTGATTATTAAAATTTAAACCATTAATTCGGAGTCCAGAAAAATTAAAACAGAAAACATGGAATTAAGGAAAAAATTCCGGTCCGGCTAAACCCGGAGCCAGACGGTTTGGCTTCGGGTGGTCTGACTGTTTAGCTTTGCCATTATTGGTTGATCTCTCTTCAGGATTATGGGTAGTGTATTGCACGTCCATTGTTACAGAAGACTTCACTAATGGCCTTACAGAAGAGATTTATTGCTCACTTTCACAAAGAATGGCCCTATATAGTGTTTCTATCTTGCAGTGGCCTTAAATTGTGTAAAAATATAATTTGTAATTCACTGTTTTTAATGAACATTTCCTTTTCTTACAGTGTTTGCAAAGTTGTGCTATGCATTTTAACCACTGTGGTAAACATTTGGACTGCCATCTATTGCGTGACATCTATCCCAGAATCCCCGTTTACATGCAAACACACACACACACACAGGCATGGCCACATCTATATCCGGCCATCTACTGCAGGAAGAGAGGAGAGGAGGCAGGAAGGAGATGCAATGACTCATGGGAATGATATCCACGGCGATACTTATTGGGAAAGCAGAGACGGACAGAAGGAACTGGATAAAGAGAGAGAATGAGAACGCAACTGCATAGACCCAAGTTTGACTGATGGCAGCCTGATGATGATGATGATGATGAAATACCCAAAGTCACAAGGCAGCATGAGGGGAGAGGAAAGGAAGAAAGAAAGGAAGAGAAAGATTTAATTTTGCACTTATTTTTATATTTTCATTAACCTGTATGTCTACAAGCAAGTACAGACAAGAAAGAAAGAGGACAGAAAGATAGAAACTAGTCATGAGAAAGACACCGTAGTCATTAGTTAAAAATAATTATCCTGTGAAACTTAAATTAAACCTATTAAAAAGATTGTAGTAACTAAAATAAAGCTGAAATAAAAAATAAAGTTTGTCAAGACAAACTTTGATGTTGGCTTGAGAAAGACTGGCCAGTAGTTTAGGATGGATAGATGGATAGGATACAGGTGCATCTCAATAAATTAGAATGTCGTGGAAAAGTTCATTTATTTCAGTAATTCACCTCAAATTGTGAAACTCGTGTATTAAATAAATTCAGTGCACACAGACTGAAGTCTTTGGTTCTTTTAATTGTGAAGATTTTGGCTCACATTTAACAAAAACCCACCAATTCACTATCTCAACAAATTAGAATACTTCATAAGACCAATAAAAAAAACATTTTTAGTGAATTGTTGGCCTTCTGGAAAGTATGTTCATTTACTGTACATGTACTCAATACTTGGTAGGGGCTCCTTTTGCTTTAATTACTGCCTCAATTCGGCGTGGCATGGAGGTGATACGTTTGTGGCACTGCTGAGGTGGTATGGAAGCCCAGGTTTCTTTGACAGTGGCCTTCAGCTCATCTACATTTTTTGGTCTCTTGTTTCTCATTTTCCTCTTGACAATACCCCATAGATTCTCTATAGGGTTCAGGTCTGGTGAGTTTGCTGGCCAGTCAAGCACACCAACACCATGGTAATTTAACCAACTTTTGGTGCTTTTGGCAGTGTGGGCAGGTGCCAAATCCTGCTGGAAAATGAAATCAGCATCTTCAAAAAGCTGGTCAGCAGAAGGAAGCATGAAGTGCTCCAAAATTTCTTGGTAAACGGGTGCAGTGACGTTGGTTTTAGAAGTACTAAAATTACTGAAACTAAACATGAAATAAAGCTAAAAAGAAAAAAAACTACAAAAAAACCCCAACAAAATTAACAAAAACTAAAATGAAAACTGAAAATATAAAAATAAAAGTATAATTCACATTATTAAAAAATAATATACTATTATAACAGTAATACTAAAATAACACTGGTGAAACTGAAGCAACATCAGAGATATATTGTGAATATAGGGCAACTCCTTCAGCTGTGACAATATTCACAACATAGCATGGCCTCTGGTGCCTAATTTCAGTTTCACTGCTTCATCTGTATAGCCATTTATACAAAACACATTGGTCCAGAGCAGCAATGTTTGCAAAGGAACAAAAACAAATTGTGCACTTAAATTCAAACAAAAGTTCAATCACAGGAACATTTTTTTTCTGTGTTTCAATCATTGTTGAAGACACTGTATTAACCAATCAGCAACCAGAAACAGATGATTTTATAACTCTCTTCCTAAAATGTTGTTGTAAATCTACAGTGAAAACACATTTCCACATTATTGCTGCCTGCTGGTTGTATTTGGAGAGATGATTTCACTAAAGCAGCACTCTGAGTGAGCTTGCGTCCCGAAAGCACCTACAGTAAGAAACAATGGGCCCTTCACGAGGTGGAACAGGTCGGCCGGGATAATCCCCGTCTCCACGACGAGAGATTACTGAGCAGAATGCCACCCGTTTCACCTGTGACTGGCAAAGCTCTATGCAGAGGTCATGGATATGAGATCTCAGATACCTAAGATACCGCTGGGATTTAATTGAAAATGAACAATAAATCATCGAGAGCTAATGCTGTCCTTATACACGCATGGAGTCTTCAGACGTGATTAAGAGCGAGCGGCTCGTTCTGAAGTCTCCCAGTCATGTTAAATTACTCTAGAGATAATTTTGCAGAGCACCTAAGAGTGATAAAAGATTCCTAAAATAACTTATTATAGATGCATGTTTGATTCAATTTTCATTTGAGCGAAGCTGGAAAAAGGCAGAGTCGGGGGAAAATTTTGATTCATATTGGCTTTAATAAAACATGAAATCCTTTAAAAATGTATTACAACAACCAACAGCGGTTTCCAAAGATATTTTAATGAATGCATCATACTGAACACAGGACGCATGGTTTCTGTGATGCATAATCACATTCAAATAATCTTAAAACAGCATTCATCCTAACTGAATAACATTGACTGCAGTCGGTGACAGTTATGATGTATTAGAAGATCCAGTGGGAATCGTTTTATACTTACTAAAGAAAAAGAGGCTTAGGGACACATTTGTACATTTATTCAATCTTTAGCTTTTGATGTTGTTCATTTTTTTCCCTCTCGATTGTTCTCAGACAATTACTTTGTCTTTGGTTGAGCACTAAAGCACAGAACATTTTCATCCAAACAAAGCTTTTATGAAAAAAAAGCATGCAAAAACATGCAGATTTCTGTCTGCTACCAAATCGCCTGACTGATCCATCAGCACGGACTTAACTGTGACAATTTTGACCACAACCAGAGTGGTCATTCGGGGCTCTCTGCATTTGTTCTTCTTTTTTTTTGAACGGAAAAAAAACATCAATGGCAAATCAATCATTTTAAAAGGGAGCGGAATCTGCTTAGATTTCTTGTGGCTGAATTTGAAACAGTATTAGAGTGGCAAATGATTGACAGCACGTCAACACTGCAGTATCATGGGTCTTTTCCTGCAGAAATGTTTTATAGCCTATGCCATGAAAAACTGAATACATTTAACATCAATGCTTGAAAATCTTTGATCCACTTAAAGGGATAGTTCACCCAGAAAAGTAAATTCTCATCATTGTCTCACGCTCACGTCGGACCTATACCTGCATGACTTTCTTTTCTGTGCAACATAAAAGGTGAATTTTTTTGATGAAAATCCTGGTTATTCTTTTTAAATTTATGTAAATGAAGGGTTGAAAAGCTCCAAAATAGGAACAAACACTCTTTTGAAGCTATTCAATAGCTTTTGGAGTACTTTTTGACGCTTGAAAGCGCTTATTCAAATTCGAACGCATTGCAAAGATTAGTACATTATTAAAAATTAGTGGTTGACGGATATATCACCAAGGCTGATATATAAGTCAATATTTGGTAAAAAAAAAAAAATTTGGCATGTTTGGTAAGAGGCAGGACTTTTATTTTGACAGCGCTAATTAAAGATTACAAGGGCACGTGGATAAAAAAAACAATGATGTGCGTGAATAAAGTATTTATAACTGGAATATTCCATACAAAAAAATAAGAACGGTCCATTTTGATTTCATTGTTACTTTAAATTGTGTGATGTGAACAGTTGAAGTATTTAGGAAAATCCTGACAACAGGAGTGTGCTCACACACTGTTTTAAGTGAGCTGAGAGCAGTGGGAAGTGACTACGATCATCCATGGCATGATTATTTGCCCATCACAGCTCAACTATAAAGGCAGAGCCCAAAATGAACATCCAGAAAGAGCCAAAAGCGAGTCAGATTTGGCTTTACACTTGGCGAGTAAACAAAACTCACAGTTGGTTTGTAGCAGAACTGCAACAATTTAAAACACAATGCAAGAATAACTGCGTTTTTATCTCAAGTGCGAATCAAAGCAACACAATCCCTGTTGCTTGTCTTCCAACAACAGTTTTCCCAGTGGAAAATACTGTTACTTGTTTGCTATTCCCTGGAGAATGAAACAAAGCAAAAGGTTCCTCAATTACAGTTCATAATACTTGTGACAAACTGACTGACAGTGGCCTCGTTAGGGCACAAGGACCAATTAAAGACATCAGTGTTTAAGATAAAGGACGTCAGAATGGGAAAGTGAAGTGTAAAGGTTACCAGGGCGTGAAGTTTCTCCTCCAGGTCCTGATTAGCTCTCTGAGACGCCGTGTAGCTGTTCTGCAGTCTGTGGGGGAAACAAAACAAATGTACGTCATTGTCAAGGTATAAAGCTATATCCAGATCTTATATGATAAATCCTGGTGCGGTGTGGGATTGAGATGGACATGATGGCCATTGACATAAAACAACACAGGAAACCGTACAGGACTTCTCTGCTGTGCTGGGAAATGCTACCGCATCCCGTCGGCTCTCTGAAGCTCACCGGAGCTTGTCTCAGCTAAAGGCAGAGGTACGGCAGCTGAAGAAATATTCACAAGTCATTGCAATAAAAAGACCTTATATTTCAAACACCGAGCTGTAGGAGAGTGTGTCTGATGTTAAAGTCATCAAATCCTCAAGCGGTCACAACTCCAACGCAGAATACAGAATAAGCCAGAAGAGGTAAAAGAGAGACATTTTCATCACAAAAAGTCATTAAGCTTATCCTCCGTGCAAGTCTTTTGAACAGTTTTTTTTTTTTTGCTGATAAAATATTCCAAATAAAAAGTCAAGGCATTTTTTTTTCTCATTTCAGTACTCTCAAGTCATATACAATATATTGGTAGCATATCTGGCATAGAATGATGCCAAAAAGTACTTCTTGTTTGTTTTCTATCACAAATTTAAGAATGTGAATAATTCAGTTTAAACTTAAAATAATGTAACATATACTGTATACACTGGCAGTCTGGTATGCTCACCAAGGCTGTATTTATTTGCAGTACAAACAACAATATTGTGGGAATATTATTATAATTTATAACAACTGTTTTCTGAATATATCTTAAAATGTTCCTGTGATCAAATCTGAATTTTCAGCATCATTACTCCAGTCTTCAGTGTCACATGATCCTTCAGAAATCATTCTAATATGCTGATTTGATGCTATTATTATCAATGTTGAAAATAGTTGTACTGCTTAATTTTTTTTTTTTTTTGGTACCTTTTTTTCAAATGCATGAGATAGATTTTATTGTGAATGACTCATCTATGTAAGCTTAATTTTTTACATTTTGTTTGGACCTCATAATATTTAATCAAAATGTAACATCCACATCTTAAAATCCAATCAACAACCGACAGATAGATCCCTGCCCTATATATATATACGTCACAATAAGGATAAAAAGATCTGATGCTACTACTGCAGAGAACAGAAACCATCACCGTGCCCAAAACTGTGATCATCATATGTGTGAAAACATCAATGTTATTCAGAGTATTTTTACCTACTGTTTTATGAATATTTTTTAAGACACTACTAATTTTTCAATGTGCTTTTTGGATATTTTGTAGTAAAAACAGGTCATTCACACAAAATCAAAATCTCTCATTATATGACTTACTTTCCGTTTTACGAAAACTATCCTGGCCATTCTTTTTCATATAACTGAAGTGAATAGGCATTATGATACCTTTATGCTTCTACTCGACAGATCCAAAGTTTATCATCATATGGAAAAGAGCAGCCAGGATAGCCATAGGGGATTGAAACTATTCCTTTAAAAATGTAGATAGTACTCAATGCGTTTAATATTCATTTAATATTAATAATTTACACAGTAGATTTTCAGAGGTTAAGAAGTATTAAAGACCAAACACATCTAAGAAATGACGGGTGGGCTACATGAAGTGATGCTGATCCCTTCTGATTTCATATCTTCATTGAATCAACACTGAATTCACAAAATGAGATTCAGCACAAGGCGCCAAGGCTTCCGTTCATAGAACTTTTAGAAGAAAGCATCAATTCGAATACAGAATTTGTGCTTACAAAGACCATCTGGCCTGCGAATAAACAGGTAATTAAGTAAACAAACAAACATCTATAACAATACCTCTCATTCGAGGGTTCCCAGAGCCTCCAGCACCTGGTGCAAATCGCCACAGCGCACGTGACAATGTTACGGCGCTAGATCAGAGATGGCATTCAAACGCCAACGCTGCAGAATTACTAACCAATTGCAATCCAATTAGGCTATTATCTGCGGAGAGCTGGCATGCAGGTTTAGGATGTGGCAGGCGGGGAAATGGAGGAGCAAATGTGAGCACCACACTTTTTTGATGGAAAGAATGCTGGGCAATTCAATCTCTCTGCCGTCTGAAAGCATATAAGCCAGAGATGCATCCTGATTGGAGATAAAGTGGCATGATTGCAGCCAAATTATACACCGACTCAATCACAAAGCACTGCACACTCAGAGCGCCAGGGGCATATCAGGCCGATCTGAGCCCGTGATTAAATCTGCACTCAGATCTGCTGATCTAAAGCTAAACTTATAACACTGATTCCGAACAAAATGCATAATGACGTTTACTGCGACAAGTCATTTTTTGTCCATCTTGAAAGCCAAAAAGCTGCATGAAAGAGACAATCACAGCCAAACTCTGAGGTGTAATATACACATATATGGAACGGGATTTTGAACCAATGAGATTTCACAATGTGGGCGGAGCCACCCAGTGCATTGTGCAAAAATTAAACCTCTTTTTTTTTTGACAGGGCTAAAACACCTTTTCATACCAAAAAGAATGTTTGGTGCACAAATTAGGCGTGATAAACATTTTAATTTGAATGAACCAAAGTGAACAAACATTTGCATGCCGTCAATGCATTTTTTATTATTTTTTTGTACAGAGGTGTTTTCCAATCACATCACAAAGAAAACTGGCTAACCAATAAGAGTCGCTCTTTTGGCCACATGTCTGCAGTTTTGGTGCCACTCATAAACAGACCTGGCTCTCTTTCTCTGTATTGCTTTTTGTTGTTGTTTAATAGTCATCTTAGTGAATGAAAAAATCGAACGGCTGTTTGAAAACATGCAAATGTTATTTGACTTTGTTCTCAATGACAAACAAAGAAATCGAAAGTTGCACATTGCCTTGTGTGTGTGTGTGGGGGGGGGGGGGGGAACGTATAAAGGCAATTAGGAAAAATATCAGTTACTTCATGCATACATACAAATAGGGTGTATCAGTATGTTGATGAGCAAACAGCATATTATACTGTACAAACACCATATTGTGCTGTATTTCTCTTTTTCCATAAGTGGACATTTCCAGAGTGAAACTGCATTTTCATTCAGAACAGACAAATCGCTTTCAAACATCAGACCACATTTTTGTGCTGTTGTGAACAGGACTTGAAGATTAAAACATGTTCCTGTCTTATTGTGCATTATCAGTGCACAATATTCCAAAGAGAAAACGTTTGTCTTCATTAACTTTCATCAAAATCTATGCGCTGTTGACATGCAGTCACCTGTACTATGTATTCTGCTTCGGTTTCTGTGTGAACAGAAAAGCAGCAAACAACAAAACAACCTGTCTGCATGTCAGAGGCAAGTTATACAGATGAACCAGTCATTACTGTGCCGCTAAACCCTTACACAAATAACACAGCCTCACAGCGAGCTCACGCTCATTAAAATCAGCCACAATCTCAGTCTGCTGTTCTCCTCCCTTACCTGTAATGAAAGTAACACATTACAGCACTTGATTAGTTCTTAATTAGCTGGCAAAAACACAAGGCATCTGTCAAACAATAGAGCTGCTTGACTGCCTGTTAAACATTTTTGTATTTATTTTCTGAAGACTAGGCTGTCAGGCACATTTTTTTAATGGCACAACAGAACACTTGCTGAGTCAACTAAATTGACACTACTGTAATAATTCAAACCATTTAAAATAAATTAATTCTGATTAGAAAAACCTGTGACTGACCACTTAAATTATACTGAATGAGTAAATAAAATAAAATAACTCAAACATGATTCAAATAAACACTGCTGTGGTGTATTAGATCCAGACTGATCAAGAGTTATAAATTCAGAACTAGTTCCATTTCTATAAAATTCTGTAACCAAACGGTTTTCATGACGTTCACATCCTAAAATAGTTTCCTGTGCCGCCACTGATACTACAGCACAACGAAAAACGCCATTTCGTTTTATACGAATTGTGAACTTGCTGTCTGAATTGAGTGTGATGAGAGAGAAAAAGTAAAAAAAATAGTTAATGGAATCGGAACCATAAACGTTAAATTTTTTGTGATTCATGTCAAGAGAGCTGCGTTGTCCTTCGAAATCTCACATGACAGCAAAATGATTAAATACTGACGAGAAACGAGGTCTTCCAGATGTTTTATATGTGGTTATTATCTAGGCAAGTTTGCAGTCTCCTCGTCTTTCTCTTGACTGTGTCGGCCGGACCAGCATGCTTTGCACTGCCGATCCTGATGTGCTTTGTAGTGCGGTCTGCAGCAGGGGTCCTTGCAACTCTACACAGCCACCGGTCAGTGTGATTAAAGTGAAGGCTGCCAGCTTCATATACAGTGGTGTGAAAAAGTGTTGGCCCCCTTCCTGTTTTTTTTAATTGTTTGCATACATGTCACACTTAAAAGATTCAGATCATCAAACTAATTTTAATATTACACAAAGATAATGCAAGTAAATACAAAATGCCGTTTTTAAATTATTATTTATTTTATTAAGGGAAAAAAGCTGTCCAAACCTGCCATACATGTCAACTGTTTTGATTCTCATCTGTTCTTGAATTTCTTTAGATCGCGGCATAATAGGTTGCTCTTTAAGCATGCTTCACTTTGTCAGACAGGTTCTATTTAAGTGATTTCTTGATTCAACAGGTCTGGCAGTAATCAGGCCTGGGTGTGGCTAGTGAAATTTAACTCAGCTTTCTAAAATAATGTGGTTAATTGCAGTTCTTTCATGATTTAACAGGAGGTGGCAATTAATTTTTCACGTAGGGCCACGTAGGTTTGGACATCTTTTTTCCCTTAATAAATGAAATCATCATTTAAAAACTGCATTTTGTATTTACTTGCATTATCTTTGTGTAATATTTAAATTTGTTTGATGATCTGAAACATTAAAGTGTGACAAACATGCAAAAAAATAAGAAATCAGGAAGGGGGCCAACACTTTTTCACACCACTGTAACTACAAAGAGCTCATTAACTTGGCTGCTTTGATTATAATCATTCAAATGAATTGCAGGGGTATGTCTCATCTCCCTCCCTCATGGAACTTCAGTAAGAAACATGCTGTATCCACCTCTTTCCTCAAAGACTCTTGTCATTTTGTAGTCAGAGATTTTGGGGCCCTATGATTTAACAACGCAGAAAATGCAGATGGAATTATAGAATCCAGTCAAACTAATTGAATTCGCAGTATAACGCAGAACGTCACAGAATCAAAAGTAGGGCTGTACAATCAATCAAATCACAATATGGACTAATGTCTGAATATTAAACTGCAAAAAACAAACAAACTGACATTTAAACGTGTACGTTGGTTGCTCTGCGAGTTTCGTTGACTACACACACAAACATTAGGCTCTCATCACCGCTGCTGCTGCGTGAATATGATGCATCACAACACCACGGAGACCTGAGGAAAAACTGGGATTAAAGTCCAAAACCTGACTTGAAATAACCTGACAAATCAATCTGGGCTAAAGTTAAAGGTTCCATTAACGACAAATTAAATTCACACAATCTCACTAATTTGTGCACGCTTATTCTTAAGCAGACCTTATGTCGATCATGGATCAAATCGATCCACCATGACAATCAGCGAATATATCTGTGCTGTTTAATGCATTTGAGACTTTGTGTTTTCCTCAGAGCATAACTGACATGTCACAGGTATATTTTTCATCTTTAAATGTTAGAAAGTCATGCAAACAAACATGACGCGAGTGAACGAGCGCTGCTGCTCGCATGCGCGCTAAACAGACAGAGTGCAATCGAATAGGAGCACAATAATTCTGAGTAAAATGTACATGTTTTTGGACATTAAATGTGTCTTTTGTAGAATTTTAAACCTACATATAAAGTGTATTTTTATGATAGCAGTAACTGTAAAGGGACTATTGTAATAGGTAAATCAAATGTAAGCTAGTAGGCTACAGTACTTACTAAGCTCAAATGAGTCATATATTCATATTTATATTTCAAATCATATTGCATCGAATCGAAATCGGATCGCACTGCATCGTAATAGGGGTGAATCGTATTGCATCGCATCGGTAGCTGCTTCATATGTATCTTTAATGTATCGTATCGTTGGCTATGCATCGAGATGCGTATCGTATCGGCCTCAGTCATGGAGATGCACATCCCTAACAAACATGCGTGACGCTCTGAGTATTTTTTTTAGCGTCTGTCATCACTGTATGAGGAAATGAACATCATCTCCAAAGCTGCTCTGAGAGCCACTTATCCTGCATTTCACTTAATAAAATAAATCAGATACACAAACTCAAAGGTCTTCATGACAATCCGTCAAAATAAAAGCTTGTTTTAAGAAATTGCAAATTTTTCTACTCCGTTTTAATTTCAAGCATAAACCTGCACAGCACTTTGCATACCAAACATAACACACTCAGTGGAAACAGGCAGATTTATGCAACGGTGCTTTTTTACTCGTCTCGCACTTCTTTACAACAGTCCAACACTCTTGCTTATTTTCATCCCATTAAATGTCAAATCCAATTTAACCAATATCACTGCTACATTCAATTACAGATTCGGTTTGAGAGGAAGCCACTACATGATTGTTCTTTGTTTATAAGCTGTAAATACTTTGAATAATTATATATTTTTTTCATAATAATAGTGAAATGCTAAATGATATCCAGTACAATAAGAGTTTGGGATCAACAGAAGGAAGAGTCAAACAGGTTTGACAGAAATGCCAATCCCTTTAGGCCTCATTGATAGGGCTGTGATTGTACCTGTGGAAAACACGGCTATAAACATATACTACAGTCCAAAAGTAAGATTTCAAAAGGATCAGAACAATTTAGAAAGAAATATCTTATGCTCACAAAGGCTCCTTTTATTTGATGAAAATGACAGTAAAAACAGCAACTGTTGTGAAATAATATTAAAATTTTTAATAACCATTTTTTATTTGAATTTAATGTAAAATGCAATTTATTGCTGTGATGCAAAGCTGAATTTTCAGCATCATTACTCCAGTCTTCAGCATCACGTGATCCTTCAGAAATCATTCTAATATCCTGATTTGCTGCTCAAGAAACATTTCTTATTATCAATGTTGAAAACCCTCTTTTTAAGGATTCTTATACTTCAAAACCAGTATTTGCAATAGACTATTTTTTGTAACAATTTAAAAGTCTTTACTGTCACTTTTGATCTATTTAATGCATCCTTACTGAATAAAAGTAACTAACCTTCTGAACTTGTCTCTCATTTTCTCCAGGTCGTCTCTGGTTCGACCAAGCTCTGCCTGGATGTAATGTCGACTGGTTTCAAACTCCGTCTCCATCGCCTCCATCTTATGAGTGGTCTGGGAGAGCCGGTGACGGAGGTCTTCATTTTGCTGCTGCAGGATCCTGCAGAATAAGTGAAAGCAATGAAAGAAATGAAAAGCACATCACTGACATGAGTGACTGTTTGTTAAATCGAGTTCACACCATTGTAGAGGTAAAGGGAAACTATCTACAGCATTATTAAGTATTTCAATTTTCATTTTACTACAGTAGCATAAGAGACTCTTTAAAATGAATACTGCAGTCTGTTCATCATTCATCATGCAAAGCATTTACACACATTCCTGATGCGTATCTGTGCAAGCTCACACATATAGCACTCATTTAATAGCTCTCTTTGTCATGTTTGGTATCATTTTACAGCTCATATTCTGAACTGAAATGCAATGAAGAGACGGCTGTGATACCGGCTGTCATGGTGTCTCTCCGACATCATGAGCATCTCATTCAAGTGCAAATTTAGATTTACAAAAAGTGTGTGCAATGCACCAGGTTTGACATCAATGAAGCCAAAAGGCAGTAAAATGTGGCATGTGTCAGAACAGTTTGCATCATGCATGATTCATATGGGCTACTTTCATGACAATTCTATGATGTTTTTTGGACCTCAGCACCATCCGTCTCCCTTTCAGTGTGGCATTTTATTTTTAACTGCTTTTTAATAAATAATTTCACTTAAGAGTTGGAGGCTAATCCCTGAAGTCTCTCGTTTATGCTGTCCGCTTCTCATGTAAGTCACAGCTTCTAGGGTTTAATGTTTTTCACATCATCTCATTCAAGTGCAAATTTAGATTTACAAAAAGTGGCAGTAATGTGGCATGTGTCAGAACAGTTTGCATCATGCATGATTCATATGGGCTACTTTCATGACAATTCTATGATGTTTTTTGGACCTCAGCACCATCCGTCTCCCTTTCAGTGTGGCATTTTATTTTTAACTGCTTTTTAATAAATAATTTCACTTAAGAGTTGGAGGCTAATCCCTGAAGTCTCTCGTTTATGCTGTCCGCTTCTCATGTAAGTCACAGCTTCTAGGGTTTAATGTTTTTCACATTAATGCGATCTGAACCTTTAGGTTAAATCCTGTTTCCAACGAGCACTCAAAGAAAATAGTCTTCTGTTGGAAAAAATGTTATATATTAACAACCATTTTAATGGAGTCAGATTCATTTTATACGAGCCAGATAAATAATTAAATAATGCATGCCATTGTTCAGCTGCTTTTTGTCTAGAGTATTCATTCAAAACATAAGCTGTAACTTCTAGTCCAACATCATGTAGGCTATGACTTCACTTACCTGTTACCTACAAAGTCTCACTCTGAGCACCATTTTTCTGTCTAGTTTACAATCTTTTATTTAAAACCATTTTTGCTTTAAATTGTCTTAATTTGATATATTCGTGTGTGTTTTACATTTACTTTTATATAGTTACAAAAAAATCGTTAAAATAAATGCTGTTCTTGATTTTTGATCAATTTAACATCCTAAAATAAAATAATTAATTGATAAATTGATCAATTAATTATTTTAACATCCTAAAATAAAAATTAATTGATAAAAAAAAATTATATATATATATATATATATATATA